TGTATCATTTATTTTATTAAATGTTTTAAAGACTTAAGTTGCCTATTTTATGGCGAGTTGAATATCTTATTTTTATTCAGAGTTTTCTTTTGAGTTAAAGCTTTGTATTTGAGTTATTGATTTTATTCAGTTTTAAGCTTTGTATGCTTGAATCAGTTTCCCCTTGTAGTCAGCCAGGATGAAGGTTTGCTTGGGGACCAGCAATGGTTCTCGAGTGCCGGTCACGTCCAGGGTGTAGGCTTGGGTCGTGACATGCTACATGTCAGCTCCACAAAAAATGAGAGTGGCATCTGCATAGAGTAGGTAAGAGACATTGACAGTAATGGCTGGATTGTTGCCTACTTGGAATCCTTGAATCCATTAGAGTTCTTTAGCCTTAGTTAACAACTGATATAGCCCTTCCATTGTAAGAATGAATAGAAAAGGAGAGAGTGGATCCCCCTGCCTCAACCCTTTTTGAGTAGAGAAAAATCTAGTTGGACTTCTGTTGATCAAAACTGAGAACTTTACTATTGAAATGCAAAAGAATATCCATCTTATCCACCTACTACCAAAGTCCATTTGTTTCAGAATATTGATTAGATAAGCCCAGTTGAGCTGGTCAAAGGCTTTCTCTATATCCAATTTGCATAAGATCCCAGACTCGCCACTTTTCATTCTCCAGTCTAGCACTTCATTAGCAATTAAGGATGCATCTGTCTATTCTTTAGGAATGCACTTTGCTGCCCTGAGACTAGAGAATTCATCACCTTTTTCATCCTCTCTGCTAGGACTTTAGCCAACAACTTATAGACACTGCCTGTGAGGCTTATAGGTCTATAGTCTCTAAGCTCCACAACACCTTTCTTCTTTGGAATTAGAGCAATAAAAGAGGCATCGCAAGATCTCACCATTTGGCAATTCTGGTGAAAGAAATTGAGAGCTGCTAGCATATCATTTTATATCTTTTGATGACACTTCACTCAAAAATTTGAATGATGATAGTGCATCAAATTATTCGCAAATATAACATGATCTTCTTTCCCATAAATCTCACATGTAGAAACTCTGAAAGAGCCGCGACTTCAATTCTTAATAAAATTACATTGAATATTAAAAACCTATTTTGTGACAAAAAATAAATACAATTTTTACTTCTGTTCCTTACCCAACACACCATTCCCTAACCAAGTTCTTTTTTACCCACAGCATCAATCTTTCACCTTCTACTATACCATTTTCTTGAACAAACTGAATATTCTGAACAAGAAAAACTCCATCAATGAATCCAGAAAGCTCCAATAACAACAGCCAAACAAACCCTAGAAAAAGACCATTAGTAGAAGAACCTAACAATGATAAACAGCCAATAACACTAAATTCCATGGTGGTAGCCATTGATCACAACAATCTCTTTTACACAGTCTGT